GTGGGGGATTTGGGTTTTTTTTACATCTCACTTGTGTGGCCCCGACTGACTTTTCTGTGGGTCAGTGACGCCTGACTCAAAACAGATTTCCTGCCCTTCTCATAAATAAAGACAATGCAGAAACTTTTTCTGTTTGACATGGTATTTTATTTAAAAATGAAGCCTGGCCAACAAACCCCCAATTGGGGCCAAGCCCCCATCTGCCCACAGCATCATAACACTTCTGCACACACACATCACAGATCCTAGATCTGAGCCTATCATACACTGGAGCCCCCTGCTCTGAGCTCCTGACATACCTCAACCCAAATTTCTGTACTACACACATCACAGATCCTAGATCTGAGCCTATCATACACTGGAGCCCCCTGCTCTGAGCTCCTGACATACCTCAACCCAAATTTCTGTACTCTCACATGCACAAGCCTGTGGCTTGCTTAGTACCCCAACTCTACATTTGACCCCAACACTGCCCAGCCTGGAGCCCCCTCCTCAAGGCAGCGCCCCTTCTCCACCTCCTCCTGCATCCAGATTTCCTTCCAGAGCTTGCACACCTCACCCCTTCCCACACCCAAATCCCTCATTCCCATCCCAGAGCCTACACATCCTGTCTCAACCCAGTGAGGGTACGGCTAGACTACAGGAGTTTTTCAGGATTCCAGAGATATCCCAAAAAAACTCTTCTGCATCCAGGGATGTGTTTGTTCTTCCGCTTTTTTTTAGTGGAAGAGCAAACATGCTCTTTTGGTCACCCCTATATGCCTCTTTCCACAAGGAATAAGGGGGCTTCCAAAAGAAGGGGGTTTTAGTATAAGGGCTGGGGATAGCAAGGGATAGACAGGAGGAGAATAGAGAGGGTGGGGCTTCAGGGAAGGGGTGGGGTCTTGGAGGAAGGATTGGGCAGTAGATCTTGGCTTATTCTGTCATTTAAAAAGTGTGTAAAAAGGTTTGAGACCACTGATGTAGAGGTTATAAAGAGTGTTCATTCAGCTTAAGAAGTAATTATTATTTATGCAAAAGTGCTCAGGGGCAACCATATCTGCCCTTGTGACTGAAAGGCATAGACACAAAGGTAATTATTTATTTTGTACATTCCAGGAAGAGACTGAAGAAACTGAAGAGACATCCTCACAAGAATCTGCAGAGGAAGACTAAGAGACCACACCATTCAATTTCTACCTCATCAGCAGTTGGGTCTTTTGAAGGGAGAAGACGCTGCCTTGACCACTTATTTTCTATGCCATGGTCTTTCCACTTATGCCTGGGGGGGAAAAAATCACATAACCTTAAAAAAGACTATATTAATCACCTTCTTTTTAATCCCTTCACAGTCCCAGGTTTAGTGAAAAACTGCTGTAACACAAAGGGGACACAGATTACCGATGCAACTTTTAATTACGGTTTTCTTTTTTCTTAACCTATTAATAGTTTGTTTGAGCTGCTAAGTAAGGGTGACTGGGTCAGGAAAGCTTTGAATCAGGTTTAAGTCATTCACTGCACTGCATATAAACAGGAGACTTGTAACATAATTTTACGGGCATTGAAATAGGAAAGGCTTGGTGTATAGCACTATCAGTCTTAACAACACCTCAAAAACCCACTCCCGAGCTTAGTAAACTCCCTGTTTAGAACACCAAAGATAAGGGATAGATACTACTCTCTTTTTGTATCCTTCTTGTAGACTTGTACTTGATTTTTTTTAAAAACTTACTGTTATTTCAGGAAAAATTGAGAGTTGATTATTCACTTAATTCAGCCAATAATCAAAAGAAAGAAAACAAGGTACTTTCATTTTACAAAAGGGAAAGAAAGACAAAGATACGTTGTATACTTACAGATACAAACATATCAGCAGAAATAGTAATAAACAAAACTCAGAGCACTCATCTTTTAGGAATTCAGGTAGACTCTACTTTTTGCAGAGCCAGACATTTTTTACAAAATTAGTGGTGACTTACACCAAAACACTCTAAAGCCATATATAAATGCAGAGATTTTCAGTTAAAGAGGTTTTGGAGGGAAAAATTATGCAAAGGTACCACGGAATGAATCAGGAGCTTACCTGAAGCAAGAAAAAAACATTTTGTTTGATGGCTAATTTCACCCGCCCTGTCTCAATATTTCAAAGGGAATGAATCTCTTCTCATTACTCACCAGTCTTGATGTAAGAATCAACATCATGTACCTCAAGTGAGCTTGTATATTACTTTAAGCAATATACTTTGACATAGGATGGTTCGCTGGGCAGTTTTATTCCAGTGACATTTCTCCATCTCTTTCACTCAAAGCAGCACTTTTAGCAACAGTTGCAATATTACCCCACTATTCAATACTACCTCTGATTTGTACAATTAACTCATCAGCCTGATAAATACATGCTGCTATACACATACAGTGCAGGAAATTATTATTGGGTAGATAATCATGAATATCTACATTTTCTCCTTATTTCTTCTTCAATACTTAATGGCGCAATATTTTAATGTGTTTCAGCATGTCTATGTATTTTTCTTTTTTTAAAATGTACTTATTCTTATTCTCTGCTACATTTCTGTGTAATGTACTGTTAACTTGAATATATTTTTGTACTGAATTACTCATAGGTTTGTAAGGATAATTTTCAATGACACTACATGACATAGAAAAAAATTAGTCGTAATGTTTAAATATTACTGTCCAAGTTTGTACCTCAAATGAATTGTTTAAAGAAATGGACTAATCAATTGACAAAGACCTACCTCCAGACTTTAAATGGAATGAACTTGTTACTTTCAGCATTAGTTTGAAATGTTTGAAACAGTTAGGACTGCAACTAATCCCTAATTCAAAACTATTTTTTGTAAACAAACTTTGCTGGAAATGAACACATTTTAAATTACTTTCATATTAAAAACAAAAAACAAAAAAACCTTCAAAGAAACTTGAAGCTTTGTAGGTGGGAAGCAACAAGCTCAGCTTTTGCATAATGCAATCACAAATATGTGTTTTTTAAATAGTAGATTGTAAGAAAATACTTGACAAGTATTTTCATGTATTTTACACAAATGTGATTTTTGTAATATGTTTCAAACCTGATTTATTTTGAATGCTTCGTATGTAGAGGCTTTTTTATTCCTCTCTTTCTCTTTCTCTCTCTCTCGTGCATTCTCTCTCTCTCACTCTCTCTCCTAGTCAGTACATCTGCTTTGTGACATTGTATTATTAACTGGGCCAGGGGTAGTTTCTCAGGAAGGCTTCAATTGGTATGGCTTTTAAGTCAAATGCACCTAAAGATAACTACTTACTGACTTCTTCCAAGACATGATATCAAGAAACAAGGATCTCAAAAGACTTACAGAAGGCTCATTCTTGGGGGTTACTGAGAAAGAGCCAGTCTGAGTATTAAAACTAGATGTGTTAATGCTAACTAAACAAAGGATAATCATATCCATTTTGTGTCTTATTAAAGGCTGCATCCATTGTCCCTTGCAGTCAATGGAAGGACTCCAGTTGACTTCAAAGGATACTGAATCAGGCTTGAACAATTTGTTTAACAAATGCGTTTTGTGTTTTTAAAAAAACATACTATTCAACAGATGAAACAGAAGTAGTGATGCATGTGGATCAAGCTCCGAGGGACTTACAGCTCTGATGAAGTTCATCTTACATTGTCTAAATATTGTAGTACAATCAAAACACATTACTACCTCTTAGGGCCTACTATACCTCATTTTTCAGACTGAAAACTGCTTGTGGCCATTGAAACAGTGAGAACATCATAAAATTTTTATATATATAGTTTATTTTTATGGGAGATAAATTTTATAGGACTGTTCTTTGCTGTCATTGGTCACTAGTAAATAAAACTGGACATTAAACTTTTCTACCATTTCTGCAATATAGGTATGTTTGCAGGAAACAAGTTTCAAAATGTTTAACTGCAGTTTACTGTTCTCCTGTTCCTTTTTGCTTTGTTCTTCATGTAGAATTGCTGTCTATGATTGTACTTTGAATCGCTTGCTTGTTGAAAATGGTCCTTTAATGGATTATCACAGTCTGTTCAGCACAATAAACATAATAGCCTCTGTGATCCCCAAGTTATTTGATTCTTAGACTTTTGTCACATCTCCATGAAATGGGTAATAAAGTTTGGTCACAAGTGGGCCAAATTTGTAAAAGTTTGTATGCAAGTCATTTTTGTGTGTGAACCATGGGTAATGTACAGCTCTTTGTGCCTGAATTAAAGGGAAGTTGTTTTTAAAGACTTTAGTAATTACAGGGTTAGTTTGGAAGATTGTGGTTTATGCCTACACATTTATGTTTGCAACTCTGCCTCACTGTCTTCCTGTGATTGTTTTGATCGTATTAGTCCATATATTTAGTTACACATACTCTCTTTCTTAGTTTATTTCCAAGCTACTCTTTTCAACATAGCTAACCTAGCTAGGATTTATAACCATTTTTTTTCTAGTGTTTTGTGGCTTGAACTTGGTTATTTTGTAAGGCAAATAGCCTATAACATATTCCCAACACAATACTGAGATGTAATATATGTAACATAGTTCTGAAGTAGAGAGCTGAGCAATTTCATTCATTTTATGTCTCTTTTTGCTCCAATCTCGTTCCTTGCTCAACAGTGTTACAGGATCACTCCATTTCACATTTCAGTCTTCCTGGTGGTCTTCCTCCCTCTGATTGCCATCATTCAGCTCTTCCTGTTATTTTATCTGATCTTATGTTCCAGCTGTAACCCGCCCACCTAGCAGATCAGCCAGCTCACTGAACTTATGTAGCTATGCTTAACTCCCCATATCTTCTTATTAGTCATTCCCCTACCTCACCTTACTCCCACTTGCCTTCCTGAGATGTATTCCAATAAAGCTATCCAGACTGCACTTCCCAACGGGCTTCCTCATGTTTAAAACATGTAAAAGAATTTGCAGGATCAAGACTTTTGTTTGTCAGCTCCCAAGTATCTGCTCTGTCCAGCAAAACAGATTAGGATAAGCTTCCACCCATATCACTAAACTCACATCAAGTCACTTTCTCACATCAGTTTGCAGAAGCTTGGCTAGTATCCCTTTTACAGTGTTTTCACTGCCCATATATTCAACAATGCCTAATACATGGTTTCTTACACCTCTCCCTGAATGTGGTGCAGGCCGCTGTAGGAGACAGAATATTAAACTAGGTGGACCATGGGTCTGATCTGGTATGGAAATTCCTCTTTTCCTATACCAAGAAGCCAGGATGCAGCTTTGTCATACCCCATTCTTCATTCGACACCATAGTGAAGTATTATGTCAGTCCTTCACACCTTTGCATTCCTTCACATCATTTTTCTATGAATTTCCCCCATCTCACTAGGGACTCAGCTATGCTGAATCTCCCATAAACTTCCTTTCTGGCTTTATTTTTATAATCCAAGAATTATTTATTCATGAATCCATACTTCTGTAACTAGCGTTATTTCGAAATAACTTAATTGGTGTCTACACAGCAAGCAGTTATTTCAAAATAATGCCAAAATACTCTCAAGCTGGAGGACGTCTTACTCAGACTCCTGTAACCCTCATTGTACGAGGAGTAAGGAAGAGTGCTCTGTTTCAAAATAAGTGCTGTGTAGATGCTCCCTGTTTCGAAATAAGCTATTTTGAAATAAGCTACGCAAGTGATGTAGCTCAATTTGCGTAGCTTATTTCGAGCTAAGCCCTGCAGTGTAGACACACCCATACTAGAGTATTACCTTTAAATGTTGCATTTGTGCTCCCTCAGTTTTCTGTCATTACTACTGAGCTTTTCTGCCAATCAACTTGCCTGTATCTTTTTTGCTGAGGTACTCCAATGCAATGAACAAGATTTCAGAATAATTCCTTCCAACTCCTATTTTCCATTCCAATTACCTTTCCACACATACCCGTCTTGAGCATTTCTCTCATTCTCTTTCCTACCTGCCTTCAGTGTTTCCTTTAGTTCCCCTTTTTGCTCTGCTACAAACTCTCATTCCATCAGGTCTTTGTTTGCACATGCTCTAGTATTCAAAGTGAACAGTGTTTTGTTCTTGCAATTAAATACAACCTTAAAATACACAAAGACAATTACTATTAGCCATTAAGATATTAAACCAGTGGTTTAATATCTAGGAACCAGCACTAGCAATAGGAATTGCCTAAATAATCTACAGCACTGTTTCTTGTTATAGATATACCAGATGATTTTGTTCTTCTCATCTATTCAGTAGTGAAAGGGGAAATTACAAGATTAATCAATTAGAGATATAGGCCAAATCTTCAAAAATGGCCTGATAATAGTGAAGGCATAGCTAAGGAGAGCTAAAAAGTCCGAGCTGTCATATAAAGTAAGAGAGTTACAGTCAGCAACTGTGAGGCAGCACCTGGAGAGGGTCAGAGCAGTGATCCTGAAATACACTTTATTAACACTCACCATCAAAATAATCAAGAGAAAACAGAATAAATGAGGTCTGAGCAATCCCAAAATTGAGTAGAAACCCTGATTTTTAGGAGATAAGTATTCTGAAAGCAGAAGTCACAGCTAAAAATATGACTTCAAGTTGTGTGTAAGTGTCAGTAACAGACTATAGTGTAGGACCACCAAAGACTGATTTTAATCTAAGAGGGTTTTTTTTTAATTCACAAAAATCCATTAAATGTATATAGTCCCTCAAGGCATTATATTCTTAGTTCAGGGAGTAGACAGAAAAATAAGCACATTTTTATTACACTGGAACACATTTACTCATAAAAACATAGTTTTAGGACTATCACATAATAAAACAAATTTTAGAACTTAAATCAACATTTGAAAACAATCTCTGCAGCTCCATGGGAGAGGCTGCTCTGTGCTTGCCTGGACTGCACAGGATCATCCTTGAAACTACTGTAAGTCTTACAATAAGGATTTTATGAGGCATGATTTCTAAAAGGCTTTTTTTATTAATTGGATGGAAAGGCGTTTGAAGCCAAGAAGTATCAGTCTCTATTGTTGCCAAAATTAACAATATGTACAGCTTGGATAGTTTGGGTCAGCGATGGGCAACCTAGGCTAGTGACTGGGCTACATTACTGGCCCGTCTTCATCTCACTGGGCCACAAGATTGTTGTAACCAAGGTAAGGTCTCAGGATAAGGGAGTTTTGCTAACTGTGCTTTCATCCCTAGAATTTATAGGATGTGCTGATTGAACCCTAGCAGCTCTTTAGATGCAGATGGAGCACAGGGCTCTAACAGTCAATGTATGTGCAATCAGCATGCATGTCACTTCATGTGCCCTTTCTTTACATGTGTGTCACTTTAGTAATACCAATAGGAAAAAAAACGACATGGACAGAAATTAGAGGAATCTGGCAACCCTGGCCATGAGTAACAGTAAACAAACCATCTTGTGGGCCACACCACTGATTTGGATTCATCCACATCACACAACAAACAAACAGGAACCCCAATGAAATGCCAGGATTATTTGGCAGATTGAGGTGCTGTCTTTTCCTCTACCCCCTGGCACTCCTTCTGCAGAGGACTTTGTCTAGTTCACTACTCTCCCTCAATAACAGGGCACACCGCTTAGAGAGCAGTGTCCAGCTTTTACAACAAGCTAAGCCAATCTAAAGAGGCAAATAAAAAAAAACATCAAAAGACGAGCTTGTGCCAGTGCAGCGGTTTCACGGGCCTTCATGTTCCAAATGATCCTGGACTTCATCTGAGCTTCTGCCCTCTTGCTCTTCTGCATCCTCTGAGACAGCCCACAAGAGTTAGTTGGCTAAGCCAATCAGCTTCACTCTGTTTTCCTCCATCAGAGATCATCTCTTGGCTCTCCGGAGTTATCAAACCCAGTTACACCATCAGCTGATGAGTTCCAGCTTCTCTCTCGCTCTTCTACTGCCATCATCAGCTGGTCTGTTTTCTCTGCTGGCCAAGGTACTCTCAGCTCCTCATCCTCCTTCTCCTGTCCCAAGTCTTTTACAATAAAACAAAGAACAGCTGCAATTAAGAGAAAATGTTAAGTCTGTGTTTGACAGCCTGCTCCAGCTCTGTCAAGGTCAGGACCCAACGGGCTCACACTCGTCCCACTGACAATATCACCTTAACTATTTGTAATCAATCTGTAGATCAGGGCTACTCAACATGCAGCCCGTGGGACGCATGCAGCCCACAGCCCGTTTGTTTGTGGGGTGTGGTGGGGTTTGGGTTTATGTTGGGCTCAACATGTGTCCCGTGGGTGGGATGCTTTGAACATGGCCTCCACTGGGAACACACGCCACAATGGTGAGGCCTCCCCAAGGCAGGGTGAACACTGAGAGATGCAAGCGGACAGGCTGGCTGGAACAGACAAGTACAGGGTGTCGGCATTTCTAGCCCCCAGGGAAGAGGTGCCAGGAGCACCGGGGCATTGTGGGAAGTGCTGGCTGTTTAGCCTTGTGGGCAGAGCTCGAGAGGTGCTAACTGGCTCACTCAGGCCATGTTTGGCTTAATCTTTGTATTCATGCTCGTTAGTGTGAAAAAAGCTATTTGCATATATATGCCATCACACTTAAGTTGCGGCCCTCAGCATGTGCTATGAGTATCACTGTGGCCCCTGGGGCTTCCAAAGTTGAGTAGCCCTGCTCTAGAAGTTTCATAACCCTTGCTTCACAAACTGCCACCAGACAAAGCAAAGCTCAGGTTCTCTCCTCCAAAAATATGCTGTAGTGGGGTGGCTGCCCAACTCCAGCTGGGAGAGGTTAAAGCAGGGTCGAGGGGGCCTGTGTAGAACCCCAGCCAATCAGAAAAAGCCTGATAAGGAGCCAGTCAGAGAGGGGCTTGCTGGGGCAGTCCTGTTATAAGGAACTGCTCAACAAAGCAGTGGACAGTTGGGTCCTGACCAGGGAGGGTGCAGGACTGGTTCCCTGGAAACTGCACCTTAGGAGGATCTGTGCTGGGTAGGCTCAGGAAAGCAGGGAGAGAGAGAGGCTCCAGCCTGATATCTGCCAAACTGTGGCCTTGATACAGGAGCCAAGAAGGAGCAAGGATCACAGGGATGTGGGCCAGGGTGTGTGAGCAGTAAAGGGAGAGTGAAGGAAGGCAGAATAAAGCTGCCGCCAGAAGGTTCCTTGGTTGGGACCCAGAGTTGTGAAGAGGCCTGGGTCCCCCCCTTCCCTCTTGCCCTGCATCTAGCTAGGGTTG